GTTCAACAGGAGCAAGACCCATATGTTATATATATCGTTACTGTATATGTACATCAACAGATGCAAGACTCATGTGTTCTATATCGTTTTTGTATATGTACATGAACAGATGCAACACTCATGTGTTATATATCGTTATGGTATATGTACATGAACAGATGGAAGATTCATGTGTTATATATCGTTATTGTATATATACATGAACAGATGGAAGATTCATGTGTTATATATCGTTATGGTATATGTACATGAACAGATGAAAGACTCATGTGTTATATATCGTTATTGTATGTGTACATGAACATGAGCAGGACTCATGTGTTATATATTATTATTGTATATGTACATGAACAGATGCAACACTCATGTGGTATATATCGTTATTGTATATGTACATGAACAGATGGAAGTTGCATCTGTTCATGTACATATACAATAACGATATATAACACATGAGTGTTGCTCCCGTTCATGTACACATACAATAACGATATATAACACATGAGTCACAATAACGATATATAACACATGAGTAATATATACATGAACAGATGAAAAACTCATGTGTTATATATTATTATAGTATATGTACATGAACAGAAACAAGACGCCTGTGTTATACATCGTTATTGTATATGTACATGAACAAATGAAAGACTCATGTGTTATATATCGTTATTGTATATGAACATGAACAGATGCAAAACTCACGTGTTATATATCGTTATTGTATATGAACATGAAGAGATGAAATATTCATGTGTTATATATCGTTATTGTATATGTACATGAACAGATGAAAAATATCATGTGTTATATATCGTTATTGTATGTGTACATGAACATGAGCAAGACTCATGTGTTATATATCGTTATTGTATGTGTACATGAACAGATGAAAGACTCATGTGTTATATATCGTTATTGTATGTGTACATGAACAGAAACAAGACGCCTGTGGTATACATCGTTATTGTATGTGTACATGAACAGAAACAAGACGCCTGTGTTATATATCGTTATTGTTTCATACATATCATATGTAAACGATAGGATTACGAATTAAACGTGTTATACACCATTAACGTTTCGTTTAGTATACGTACACACCCGGTACAAGATGAGTGTTAAGAAAGCAAAGCTATAATAGGTTTTTAAGCAGTAAACTTTGCTTAGTAATAGTGTACAACTAATGTCAGTTTGTGACTTAACTTTACATCTTCTATGTATGATACGTATCCCAACATGTTGCTTCCACTGATATACAATCCAACATACGCCATTTATTTCACACAGCAATCCCTAAAGTACACGGAGAAGCATTATATATGTATATAAATATATAAACTATAAAGTAGCTTAATTTGTTGGGTGGGAAATTTAAAGCTCTTAACGACTCATAGTACTCGAAAACAAGAAAAAAAAACACGTGTTCCCTGAGCTTTATAACCAAAAAACATGAACAAACACCTTACAACCAAAGAATCCCAATAAAAATATTTCTCTTTTAATAACAGAAACTCTTGAATCTAGTTTAAATGTCAATAATTGTAATATTAGTCTTTGATTCATTTAAATGTCAATAATTGTAATATTAGTCTTTGATTCATTTAAATGTCAATAATTGTAATATTAGTCTTTGATTAATTTAAGTGTCAATAATTGTAATATTAGTCTTTGATTAATTTAAATGTCAATAATTGTAATATTAGTCTTTGATTAATTTAAGTGTCAATAATTGTAATACTAGCCTTTGATTAATTTTAAATGTCAATAATTGTAATATTAGTCTTTGATTAATTTAAATGTCAATAATTGTAATATTAGCCTTTGATTAATTTAAATGTCAATAATTGTAATATTAGCCTTTGATTAATTTAAATGTCAATAATTGTAATATTAGTCTTTGATTAATTTAAAATGTCAGTAATTGTAATATTAGTCTTT